GGGCGGTCGAGACCCGATCGAGCAAGCCCTGCCGTCGAGCGGCATCCGCCACCCACTGCGCGGGTGGCGTGGCCGCCGCGACCGGCGTGATGGCCGGATCGCCGGCCTCCGCAAGGACGGCGCCGGGCCATGCCACCACACACGACAGGGCCAACAGCCCCGCGCACCTCGCGCGGCGCCAAGCGCTCAACACAACATCAACGACCATCAGACACAGATCGGGCCACCGTCAGGGAGAGGACATCCACGCCATGCCGAAGGTCTTGCAGGTCTCGAGCACGCCCGTGCCTGCACCGGCGGGCAAGCTGAGCGTGCCGGGCAGAGCATTCCGGTCCACGACGCGCGACTCGGACGTCGCGGGGACCCGGACGATAGGGGAGCAGAAGGAGCTGAGCCATCCCACGTTCGTCTGCGTGGCGGCGGCGACGCTGCTGATGCCGAAGGCCACGGTGCCACCGTCGGGCGACCAGCTCGCCCGCACGTGGTGGAAGTCCAGCAGCGAATTGCGGTCGGCGTCCGACAGCGTGGTCAGCGCGCGGAACTGGCTGCCGTCGAGCCGGCTCACGTACAGCAGCGTGTGCGCCACCTCGATGCCGCTGGCCGTCTTGAGCGTGGTGCTCAGCTCCAGCAGCAGTTGCTGCCCATCGGGGCTCGGGTGGATGACGGCGCCACGGGCGCTCACGTTGGCCGGCAGCGGCAACTGGCCCAGCGGTGCGTGCTTGCCGTCCAGGCCCGCCACGACGATGAAGGGGCCGGCCAGGTAGACCACGCGGCCATCCGGCAGCCAGGCCAGTGCCGAGCTGGAGAAGAAGCGGTCGTACTCGTAGGGCGAGCCGAAGAGCACCCGGCGGCCCTCGGTGTCGAAGACCGACAGCGCCGGCTCGGCGTCACGGTAGTTCAGCTTCAGGTAGGCGAGCAGGTAGCGGCCGTCCGGGGACGGCTGCACGGTCGAGTACCAGGCGGGCTGGTCGGCGCCGGTGAGGCTGGCGGGGTCGAAGCCACCGGTGCGCCGCAGCGTGACCGGGTCGAACACGTCCACCACCCCC